GGGGGGGGGGGGGGGGGGGGGGGTGTGCATGATGAATTCATCCGGCCTGTGAATACTTAGCAGCGCATGCATGTGAATACTTGCCGTCAAGAAAGATCTGAAAGCTGATATCCGATGTATTCTTCAAGAACCGTTTTTTGGCCCGGCGGCCGGTATGTCAGTTGATTCGGTGAGGGTGTCGGTGCCTTCCTGTGAGAGTCCAGTGAGTGGTGGTGCGTTGGGGTGGTTGCTTTCCCATGCAAGATCAGCGCCCCTGTGACGGGGATCACACTCAGCACCCGAGTGGGACGGCTGAGCGAAACACACTCTGACACTTGTATTCAGTGAACTCAATTCCCAGGTCGAAAATGGTGAGGGAACGGCATGGCGAGAAAGTCAGTTCACTTGAAGGTTGAACAACTGTTTGTGCGTGACTGCAGTGGTAAAACTCTCGCGCGTTCGGCTGCAACTCATGGTCGGCTGCGGTGGAAAAAACCTGTTTGTGGGAGGGTATCGTGAAGAAGAACCATGAAACCAACGAAACAGCGGCAGGGTGAACCAGTGGAGTCAGTGTGTTCAGCGCAGGTACGTCGGCAAGCGTCCTTGCCGATATCCTAGGAGCATGTGAGGAGCTTCGTTGGATGGAGCCTCACATGTCCTCTCCATCCCCCTGCCTATATCCGGTGGTTGTCCAAGGTAGTTGAAAAGCATGGAAAGAGTGGTGGTGGAAGACCCTTTGTCCAGGGGTGGACACACACACACATATATATATATGCATATTAATATATGTTTATAAGTATGTAATGCGTAAGTATGACACGCATGCTCGGTTTCAGCGGTCCACCCACCAACCAACCCCATGTTCATCCATCCACTCCCAGACAGTCCACACGGAATTCCAACATCAGCTCCCCGGAATCGGCCGGAGGCGAGGATCCCTTGGAGGCCTTCATGGCGCCTTGGCCGGGCGGATCACCCGGGCTTCCACAGAAACACTCGCGGAAGGTTGATGAAAACGCCGATGAGACCAAGCAATCAGGTTTTGGTGCAACCAATATAGGTAGATGGTTGTACCAGATCGATCCCCCTCTTCCTGGAACCGGGTGGACATCATTGGTCCTGGGTCCCGGACCCCGGACCTACCTGTTCTTTGTGACCCTTCCATGGTTGTAACATGGCATCTATGACCAAGCTGCCTTCATCCCTGCAATACTGATGATCTTGGTTCTAGACCATGGAGTCTCGCAGGCTTCGCAGAGAAAGAATGCCAGGCCTCCATTGATGCGGAGCTCCAGGGTCAAAAACCCAAGAAACGGCGACGCTGATGGTCTCGCCGGGCAGCGCTGGGCTGGAGAGGAAGGCCTTGTTCACGAACTGCCCCAGACTTTTGGCAGTGGAGTGTATCAAAGAGTGACGGGGTTTGCCGGACAGAAAAGCGAACATGAGTTGGATCACTAGATGGACTCTCGCATGGGTCCAATTATTGCACTGAGAAGAAAGTGGTTTGAGGGATTTATCAATTGTTAGGACTAGGATCAACTTTAACTTGTGAGGAAAAGCCGTGCCCTGTCAGCGATCTTATGATTTTCCAACAGGTCCTTAGGTATCTCCAGGCCACCAAACTGTTCCAAGACTGGGGGAACACAGGTAAACCTTGTAGAGGTGCAGATAGGTTCACTTAGCAACTTGGTAGAAAAAAAAACAAGCCTCCAAAGGAGCTGTCTCGTTCTCATTGGCGCATTCAGAACAGGCGCATCATACATCTCAGCTCTTTGACGTTCGGGATGTACTTTGTGGTGTGCATTCTGACGCAGTTGGAGTCTGAAGGTGCAGGATCCCCAACATAGCCACGCCTGACTAGGACCAAGCTTCTTTCTTTTCTTGTCGGCTTTTTGAAAGCCACATTTAGTGGTTTCTAGCCTACAAATCTGACATAGAAGATATGATATATTATGATATGGAAGTTGGTCGAACATGTAAGCATGTGAGCCAGGATGCCGTCATGTTCTTATCCACAGCAACAGGCTAGCTATAATCCCATCCAAGGACTGGCGTGGCACAACATCTCATAATCAGATGCCAGAGTTGCCGGAATTTGCAGTTGAGTCATCGAAGCTGACGTGGACGAACTGGGCGATGAGATGCCGGTTTTTCTCAACCACCTGGTATGCCGGAAGAGGGGTCGCCCCCTTGAGCATCTGGAGCTGACTCCGGAGCTGACCAAGTGAGACGAGAAGCCAACTGGAATGATGTGACGCACACGGCCGGTGGAAAAAGGATGAACAAGTCCTTTTTTTTGACGTTTTTTGCAAGAAAGATCCAGAAAGGAAAGGTTTAATAATTTGTTCAGAGAGGTCGAGGAACAGTAGAAACATGTAGAAACCTCATCAACGGAAGAGTGAGTGAGCTCAGAGTTTTGACGGGTATATGCACAAGTTGTTTTACTTGTTTTGTGTGTGTGAGTGCCAGGGCGCCCAACGCGTGTGCATTCATAGTCCTTGATAGGTTGCAGTAAGCGGTGTCCATTAAGCACCCTTGGGGGTTCTTGGTAGATGTTTGCATTTATTGAATCAACTTCACTTCAGCATTTACCGCATGTGCATCTCGAGCAGGTATCATGTTATGCTTTTTATCATGCACATACTGGTAGTTCCTACTCCCTCCCCATGGCAAGATTCAGGGGCTGTTTTGTAGTTTGGAGGGGGTAGCACTATATCACTATATCCTTTAAACATCCAATCCGATGCTTCCGTGTGGCTGAGGCCATTGGGCAACAAGTTCACGAGGCATTGATGCAGAAGTTGCTGGCGCAAAAAAGGACCGCTGTTACGCCGGATGAGGAGGGTTTGCTTGTGCATATTGAGAAGAATCAGGGGCAATCAGAGTGCAGATGCCATGAAATCCGCCTAGCAGATCTTTAGCAACCTCGAGCCAGGGCTGTAACCCGGAACTCGATTCAAATTCGGGGAACCTCAGGCATTGTCAGGCATACTATAGAGTGGAAGAACAGGTTGAAAAAGCCAGTTCAACAATAAATTCACAGCTGAGTTCTTCTTGCAAACCTCCACGGACTTTGACTTGTTCACTAGGAAGGATACATTTGGTCCAGCGGATGTTTTAACAAAGCTGTGGTGTTTTTTGGGATTCAATGAGTTTGCCTGGTCCACGGGCAGAACCGAACAGCACGCTACAACGCGTCGCTTTTTTCCGCTCCGAAGTCAGCCGATGTGATTTCGTCAGGCGGGCCGTCTTTGAGGATCAATCTTGAAGTGGTCCAACTGTGCCTGCCAGACTTCATGCCTACATTGACCCCCCAAACTACCCTAATAATTAGGAATATAGTATATGTATAGGTGAATATTCTATACATGGAGCTTGGATAAGGTCATATGAGATATGTGCCCCATTTGTTGCTTCACTGGCAGAAAACAGGCTGCTTCGTGACGCCTGAGGTGCTCCCCCGGCTTTTCGTGCCTTCCTCGCCGCTCGGAGTCATTAGAGTTGACCAGCTGAAGGCAGCTGCAAAGTATGAACTGGTTGACATTGATTACACTGCCCCGAAGTGGAAATGCACTGATGAGCTGTTGAAGGTGGACCCTTTGCATGTGAAATCCTCAAAACATGGTCTCAGGTGCGAGGAGGAGACGCACTCGGAGGTGGGCCAGGGCCGCCAGGTTGGGAATTCGACCAGATGGGCTTGATCTGCCCTCCATGCAACGAAAATGGTCCTGGAAAATGTGGAGGTCCCCATGATGTCCCCATATACCCCCTGCGTGTTTGGGCGAATCTGTTGAATGATTAAAGATGAATCACCAACCAGAAAGCAAACTTCCAGCAGAGGTTGAAGAACCCTATAGACTATCCTATAGGTACCCCTGTAGGGTCCTAGTTCAGGTCACTTGATCTCTGTTGGTTGTGCGTGGCTGGGTGGTTCCAGGCTCGGTTCCCGTGAACAGTGCTGGCTCCATGGGGTCGATCACAGCCTTGGAAGCCTCCTAAGGTGGAGAGAGAGAGAGGGGTTTGCAAGAATGGACCACAGATTCACAAAACAAGCTATTTATTCTTCTCTCTCTAGTCTACTCTATTAACATAGACCCCCCCCAAAAAAAAATGCAGGATTTACTAGACTTAGACCCCTCTCCAGCTGCAAAGACCAGGCCTTGCGCTTTGACATGGCCAGCGGAGCCCTTTACCTGGCGAATGCTCAGGCGCAGCACGACCGAGCCGGAGCGATTGCGGAAGAACGGTTGACGTTCCAAAGGCTCAGGTGTTCAGAAGGCTCAGGTGTGTGTAGAGCATGAAGTAGCTTGTCCAAGCCGTATTTTCCATGGAACTCTTAGAAAACGGTTTTCTTCTTTGAAGCTCAAGAAAGCTGAAAAAAGCAACACCCAGTGTATCCAATTGGTTGATTTCGATTGATCGCTCCGAATCTCCGAACGCGTTTGCGTGCGGTATTTTTAATACTTGGGCGGATTGCGCACTCCCGAAGATGAACATAGCCGTCCAGATCCATCCACGAAATTGGGATTTAAAGACAAGACATGTGTTCCAGATGGCTTCTACGATTGGGGAAGGGTCTCCATGGGAAAACTGAATTGACATCAGGGTGCAGCAAGAGAACCCCCAATACCTTCTGAAGGGAGCTTTGCAGCGCTTTGGACCATCAGGAGGGGCCTGTGCTTCGTCACTCAGTCGACCAGAGCTTCAGAATTCCGTGCGTTGCCGCACGTTCCACTCTAGGGCATTCCTTGGGTCCAAATACATCCCCCCCCCTTAAAGTTCATTGAAGTAACATGGAAGTGGAGACTCACCTGTTGGGCATTTGCTCAAACCCCGCGGGCCAGGCCATCCATGTTGGCCCATGATGACTTCAGGGAGTGTAGATCCTGGGGGTTCAAGTCATTCCTTCGGATATCCGAGGACGTCAAGGAGTTGCTCTCGCTGCGGCCTCCAGGAGCGCGACCAGCGAAGATCCGCGAGCTGCGCGATGCACCACACGAAGGGAAGCAAGAAACGTAGGTTTTGGAGCGAAGTGGTCGGGCCTTTCCAGGTGATTGATGCTTCTCCCGCTGCCAGATGGTTGAAGATAGAACAATTTTGTTGAACCATATTAAACTGGATGAGAAGACATATGGACTTTGCACATGAAGCCTTCCCCTGACACACCTTTAGAATGTCAAACGCGAGGGCCCTTTCAGACGTAGCCGCCAATGACGGGGAAAAAGCATTGCAAAAATTGATCGAGCCCATTTAGAGTCCACACAAGCTTGCAGCATGGGGATGTCAATTATTGTAATTGGGGGTGCACTTACGGTAATTTACTTGTTCAAAAACACATATACATACTATTGGGATTGCTTGAGTCCTGCGGGGTTCTGCCAAGATGGGCTATATGGAGTAGTTGAAGAACTCATCGTATCTTCGATTGTAGACGTATTATCATTTTTTTGCATGGAATGTTGAGCACGCAAATGTAGGAAACTAATTGACATGTGTACATTTTTCTGCAATCAATAGTTTTGTTAGTGCTGATTGTGGGTGGTCATGAGTTTTGAGCAGTTGCTCAGTGATGCAACCTGACCAAATAGCATGCCAACATTGGCGTGGATTGTCCGGAAGATGGGGTCCGGGAAGACGATTTCCATGGTGTTTGTCACCCAGGTGTGGGCCAGGACAAATTTACTAGCTTATATGTTTAATGCATGTACGATCATGTCGTGCGTGATCTTGTTTCGGCCATCAGGTCAGGCCCCTCGGCCGGCCCATTCCAGAGAATGCGTGCGATGCCCTTGTTACGAACGTAGCTGAGTAGCTTCTTTTTACTAATGGAAATGCCAGGAGCTACGAACGTAGCTTCTTGCTCCGTTCGGTTCGCGATGCCGTTGTGGAACGACATCGATATCGCCCGGAAGTTGAAGAAACACAACACCTGTAGAGCTCATCGATGGTCTTCCCTTCCCCTCAATGTGCAACTTTGGGTCCAAGGTGTGCATCCCAAATCTCCAAGGAGGAGAGTTGGCTGGAGACTTCTTACCGGTCTTCTACCGTTGCTTTGCCCAGCTGCCATGCTTGGCACAAGGAGCACCACCTGGAGTTGTACATAGACATGCCCTTGAGCTGAGTCTTTTGACACGGCAGGCGTGTGGTGGAACGTGGTTTGCACACTGCTGTGGGTGGTTCGGCGGCTCGAACGGCCCAGCAGCGCTGCAGGGTTGGATCATGTCATTGGGCCGCATGTTTTCAGCATTCTTTGTTGGATGTGTTAGAGGTTAAATTACACAGTTTGTCGCAGGAACATTTGTTGGAGGTGTTGGAGGTTTTCCAC